AGGCTCAGGACTCATGTTATTGGATTTCCCCTATGCTCAAGCTTCCTCAGACAAAAAATTAGTACTACCTAATAACAGTGCTATGTGTGCAGGTGCCAATGCACGTAAAGTGAGTGGCTAGCAAAACAGCTGGTACGTACTAAACACGTTGTTAAATATTAGCACTATTTCAAAAGATCAGACCTTTGCCACAGGTTTCATTAAGAGCATTAGAGTTTCTCAATCACAGAGTGGAAGAAAATTACTTTAACTTGGGGGCTTGCAGACTGAAGATTTGTGTCTCATGGCCCCTGACTTTCTTCGGGACAAATGGCAGGTGGTAATTTTGGAGGCTTGGCCCCTCCTGCCCCACCACCAGATAAGCAGCTGAGTAGCAGGGAAGAGCTCAGATCTTCCTATCCTTTGCTGTGTGCTCAGATCGACCGTGATTTAGCGTGGACAGCAGCTTCTGAGGCATTGGCAGGGAAGTGGGCAATGTTGCACACGGATGCATACTCCTCGGAGGGACTTGTCGTGGAAGCCACGGGAAATCTCTACTCTGACACAGAATGGACAGGCAGAGGAAACATCCATCAGTGTCGAGGGAGATCTGAAGCACCTGGCTAGTCAGGTGAAATAAAATAAATTATTTAGTGGTCTCAGAATCCAGCTGCTCACCGGATGTTCATAAGGGATGTACTGTCACTGCCCTAGAATCTGTGACAGAACGAAGGAAAGGCACTCTGAAATCCTGTGTGCAGACATTTGTTTCTGTTGTGAGAATGAAGGGGGGTTGTCTTGTGCTTTGTAAGGAGGGAGAGACAGTGACACTGTGTACCTGACAATCCACACGGGAAACTAGATTACTTACTTCATGACACATTACTCACCAGGGTTTTCTTTTTTCTTTCTTTCTTTCTTTCTTTATTTATTTATTTGTTTATTTAGTGTGTGTGTGTGGCCAGCGCAGCCCACCAGGGGGCGGGCCTGGCTGGCATGTGGTGCTGGGGATTGAACCGCGGTCCCTGTGTTTTGCTTAGCTTAGCTTGTTCTAAGTAGGTGCTTTAGTCCACTGAGCCATCTCACCAGCCCCTCACCAGGGTTTTCTTGTGGTCACAAAATTCACTGGGTCTAATTAATGAAATTTTTGCTTTTAATGCTAAAAAATGAACTTAGATTCTTAACAAATAAATGCTACACCAGCTGTTTAGAAGCTCCCCAGAGCTTGACTGTCCACTAGTGGGCACCATTTGTGTCATTAGAAATAGAGGGGCCTGGGATCTGGATCAGCCTTGCTTAGAGAATTTGGGAGATACTCTGCCATCACTGACTTCATGGCTTTCTACTGGACAGGTCTCCATCATGGCCATACCGAATCTGGGTCACCAGGTTCAATACCTACAAAAGAGAGGAGATGGCAGGAGTACTGCCATGTTTGAGTCCAGTCTGGATCATAGTATGAGATGCAGGCATGATATCTTGTCTAAACACTATTAGTTTAAAACTTTCTTCTCATTAAAAAGTTGAGAAGGATTTTTTTTTTTTTGGGCTGGCTCAGCCTGCCTTAAAGGGCAGGTCTGGTAAGAGGAAGGAAGGAAGGGAGAGAGGGAGGGAGGGGCAGTCTGGGACATACTGGGGTACAGCTTAGTGGAGGGCCCTGGGCTCAATCATCTGTAAAGTGGGGGGGGGGTGGAGGGGAGGAGAGAGAGCCAGAAGATGAATGATAATGAAAATAGCAATACTACTAAGATAAGCTGCCACTCAGAATCCACTTCTATGGCTGGACATTTTCTTACTACAGTATTTTAAAAGGTTGTCTTAGTTACTCTCCTCTCATTGCTAGGACTAATACCCGACACTCAAAATAAAGGAAGGAAAGATTTATTTAGCTCAGTTACTGGAGGCGTCAGTCCATACTCAGCTGGCTCCAATGCAGAGGAGCACACAGCAGAAAGCAACCTTTCATGGTGGCAGCAAAGAGTGAGAGCTCAAGGGAGGGGTAGCAGCAGCTCAAGCAGCTGGCTTCTCTCCCCACCTTACATTGTAATGCAAATTACCTGCCCCAGGGCAAGGGCAGTCCACACCCACAGTAATCAATCACAAACTCCAGAACCACCCCAAGACTGCATGAGGCTTTGGGGGTACACTTAGACACAAACCATAACAAAGGTAAACACTATGATCGCTATTCTGTAAATGGCAAAACACTGCAGGTAAGTGTAAAGCTGGGATTTGAACTCAGTGCTGACTGACTCCTCCTAGGCACTTTTTTCTTTATTTAATTTTACAGAGAAAGAAATAGCAATCAGACAGTTTCAAAACAGGTTAATAGGACAGTTACAATAATTAATACATTGCATATTGTTGCCTTTGTAGTAGTTATTCATAGCACAAGATGCAGACATGATATCTTGTCTAAACACTATTAGTTTAAAACTTTCTTCTCCTTAAACAGTTGAAAAAGGGGCCGGGGAGATAGCTCAGTAGAATAAGCGCTTGCCTGGCAAGCGCCAGGGTCTGGGTTCAATCCCCAGTTTTGCAAAAAAAAAAAAAAAAAAAAAAGCTGAGAAGGATTTTTTTGGCTGACTCAGCCTGCTTTAAGGGCAGGTCTGGTAAGGCAGGTGGAGGTGGGGATTGAACTGTGGCATCCTGGCCCTCCTACACTCTTGAGTACTGATTCCTTAGAATGAAAATAGACTCTGGTAAATTAAAGCATGTTCTTTTTAAAGATTGTGTCTTAAAAAAAAGTGGAGAGAAAACCAGGGCTTTGGTTATCCCTGTTGGGCAGTTTACATCGTAGAACAAGCGATTGGCTGATTATGCTCACCGACTCTGTCCCTGCCTAGGGCCCATCTTGGCCACAGTCAGGCTACACGCTGGACTCCCAGTAACGAGGCCCATTCAGGAATAAGCAGACTCCTTGCTTCTGGGCATGGATTGCATGGCCAAGCACAAACTGGGTGTCGAAACTCCGAGCAGCACGCTTATTTTAATAAACTTTTAATTAGGAATGCATAGAAAGAATAAAAATCAAGAGTATATAGCATGACTTTCCCACAAGATCTACAAGCCACATAACCAGCACTGAGATCAAGAAACAGACCTTTAACAGCTTCCTCCAGCATGGGTGCCCCTCTCCTGCATCACTCCTTACACATGGTGCTGCTAAATAAGCATATATATTTTTGTAGGAAGGAAAAAGGTAGGTTCTGTGTTTCGCTGATTCATCTATTGAGCCTGCTGAAATGACCACTTCCCAGCAGCTGTGGCTCGGGCCTGCATATGTGTCTGTGCCCTGCTGGGGATGGAACCCAGGGCCTGTGCCGGCTACGTGCGACACCATCTGTGGTCGGTCACAGAGCTACACCCAGCCCAGCAGCTGCAGTTTACCAGGTGCTTGCTGCACGCCAGGCACCTGTCCAAGTACTTCATGTGTGCTATGACATTTCTCCCTCATAATTACCCTATGAGATCGAGACATTATTATCTTTATTTTAAAGATGAGGAAATTGGAGCTGTGAATTATCTGCTGTGGTGACCTAGCTGACAAATCAGCCAGATTTGAACCCAGGCTCCTGACTGCCGAGTCTGTGCTCTCAACTAAAAGCTTTGTCTCTCTACCAACTGCCAGGCTGCAGCCAGCAGCAATCTTCAGAAGCTGGCATTACTGATATCCTCATGTAAATAGGACAGAATCAAGGCTCACAAAGATAAAAGACTCTGCTCAAGAGTGTGTGGCTAGTTACTGACAGGCACAGTTTATGCCAGTTGAGGTTCATTTGCCCATTTCTATATACTAAGCCAACTGCTGCAAGTTCCTGTCAGTCACACTGAGAAAGAATATTTGAGGAATTTTCTTTCTTTTTTTTTTCTGTTAGGAAATTTTATTTATTTATTTATTTATTTATTTTGAGGAATTTTCTGAGGCATTGTACATGTTAGCCAGATTTAGATGAACGCCAACACCAGGAAAAGCTTTATTACAGGACACAAAGCATTTGTGAGAATCGGTGAGCCCTAGAGTTACAATTCAGTGATCCTCCTTTACGCCAGCGGCAAACAAGACCTAGTAAGGGGTGGTGTGGCTGAGCCAGGGTCCAATTCAGCTCCTTGACTGAGCCTGGCTCTCTCCCTGCTCCTCCTGTCCCATCCCACATGGCCACCTTGCCAGGGAGCAGGTGACTCCAGGAGTCAGACATGAACTCTGCCTCGGCCACCGCCATCACCCTCTGCGTGAGTTGGGCCCAGGACTGCTTCTGTCAGATGGGGACAGTACCCAGCTCTTAAGGAGTGCGCATAGAGTACCTGGCCCAGAGACTACCATACAGCAGTTGTCATGATGACAATGATATTATGTTAACCACCATGGCACTTCTATTCTAGGTGGAACAAACTAACCCCGAGTATTAGTTAATAATTAAAGTCAGTTCCAGGTTATCTAGTGAGGCTCCCCATAGAAGCTCTGAGATCTTTAGGCAGCTTCCTGAAGGAATCAGCATGTGCGCCCTGGGAGGGGTGGGCAGGGCAGGGCAGGGCAGGGGAGAGGAGGGCAGGGTAGGGCAGAGGAGGGGCGGGCAGGGCAGGGGAGAGGAGGGCAGGGCAGGGGAGGGGCAGCAGGGCAGGGGAGGGGAAGGCAGGGGAGGGCAGGGCAGGGCAGGGGAGATGGGGGCAGGGCAGGGCAGGCGGTAGGGCAAGTACACAGCAGTGCCCACGCAGGGTGGCCACACGAGGAGGGGACTGCAGGAGGGGAAGCATCACAGAGCCCCACAGCAGCCTCGTAGTGTGAAGAGAGGCTCATATCGGGTCTTTTTCCAATCTTCTGCTTCATAACCAAGAAGACAAGACAGAGCACTCAGGTGGGAAAAAAGATGTACTCTAAATTTCATTGTTTAAACAGATTCTCAGGAAACAGATTACTGTCAGTCATTCAGGTCACACGGAAGTGGTTCACTGTTCTTCCCTTGTTTCTGCTCTGACTGATAATAGACAGGGTTTGGTTTGTCGCCTGTTTATGCACTCACCTAGCTGCACGTCAGTTGTGAATCGGAGTCTGTGGATCATGCTGACTTTGAATGACTTGTAATGATGGCTGCTGAGCATATCCTGTACTGTAGCTATGTCAATTTGTGAATCCTCCTCAAAAACTCCGTCTGCCCTTGAACCTGGGGAGGAAACAAGCACTTTAACACATAAAGATACATGAGGCTTGGCAAATGGTGTCTGCTTAAAATGGTTTGGGATAAATTAAAATAATATGGGCTATTTAATTTGGAGAAGAAAAGGCTGAGCGATGACTTAATAATGCCATTCCAGTAAACAGAGAATGGTAACATATTAATCATTCAACAATTAATTCTACAAACACTGCCTATTCTGTGGCAGAGAAGGACAGAAAAGCCCCTGCTTGCTCTCAGCAACGAGCTGTCTCCAGAAGCGTCACACTTGATTTTCTAAATGTGATTTTCCTGACCGCAGAAGTAAGCCACACACCCTGAAGAAGCCCTGTACCACGCCACCTATTCAGGAGCTTCCCAGGTGCCCCACAAACACTCCTGGTCAGTGTGTGTGAGCCTGCTGGCCCTCAGATGTCTAAAAATCACCTTACAGGCCTCCTGTCTGCAGGTTCCCTCAGCAATCCAGCCATAAGACCTTATGACTCATCACTACAAAGGTTCTGTCACTCATTCACTCATCAAATGCAAAGTGAGAGCCTTGTACATGCTAAACACTATCATGTGACATGAGACACAAGCAGGAAGACTGGTGCTCACAGACTGCCCCAGCTTCCCAGGGCTTCCTGAATGCAGCACACTTTTCTCCAGCCTCTCCTCTCCTCTGAGGCTCTGCACAGCGAGGTCACATGGCCAAGCTTATAGTAAGCAAAGGCAAACTTTCTCTTGGTTCCCAGAGTCTGCAATGTGGTTGTCTGAAGGTAGAACTGCTGGTGCCATCTGGGTGAGGGAGCACCTGCCTAGCAGAACCCAATCTGCTAGGGGGCTCCTGTTTGTGTTGAGCACCAAGGACAGCTCCTCAGGGTGTTGGAAGGATGAGAATTGGGTATCAAATTGGCAAATTCAGTTACATCATGGACAGTCTGACAACTACACATATTTCTCACAGTTTGTAGGGCAAAAAGTTTTCCAAAACTGTTCCCTTGGGCTGGCAGGGTAGCTTAGTGGCAGAGCACTTGTCTAGCTTGTGCAAACCCTGGTTTCAATCCTGGCAACACATGGACACATGGAAACTGATTTCTGATACTTTCACTCTGAATGTATGTATTATAAAATATGTATTCTGTTTCCAAACACTGTAGTGATTTCTATCTTGGACAATTTTAGCAGCTCAATAAGGCTTTCCCCTTGGTAAGGAAGCGGGATGCCTCTAACAGAGTCCCATCTGTCAGCATCTTGTCATGCTGTCCTCTCTGCTTGGGTTACCCTTTTCTCCATCTCAGTCCCTCCTGGTCATCTCCCTATTTCTCCTGAAGAGCTCAGCTCCAGTGATGGCCCAGGCATCCTTCCTGACCTGAGCCCTCGAGCGTGGTTCAGCTCTTTCTGCTACTGCACCCTGCATCTTCTCTCAGAATACTCAGCACAGGCATTAACTATCTGTCTCTGCCACCCAGGCTGAAAACTCCCAAACGGTGGGCACAGACTGCTTCAGTCACCACTGCAGCCCGACCCAAACAGAAAACAAGAGCTAACAAGGTGCACTGGGAGGACAGGAGGTGTCATCTCCACAGGATGGTGAGAATCAAGGAAGCCGAGTGACTTAAGCAACATCACACTGCTGGGACACAGTGAGGTTGTGCTCCATGCCGGAAAGGCCACTGGTAAATCCGTTTCCTTTTTGGCAACACGTATGATTTGGGGCAGAGATGCCATGATCACAGTCACTGCTGTCTTCTGAGTAATGTGCACATCTGTAGGAAGAGGCTGGTGAGGAGTTAGAATTTAGAACAATCATTCACTTTCTCCAACCTATATTTTTACTGAAATGTAACTCCCAAAATGTTTACTTTTGTGTTAAGAGAATTTTTATATATGAAAATTATAGGGAGTTTTAGTAAAATATTAAAATCTCTTAATGTTTTATAAGTTGGTTAAAGTCATCTTTTCTGGAATAATGCCATTATCAGATATAGCTTAGCTATGAGCTCCAGACTTCTGTTTTATTAATTAGTATTTTTCTTAAATATTGCAGGTATTTGATTTGGAAAAAGGTAACAGTTCATTATGCTAAAATGCCAATTACTACAAAAAAAATCCACACTTAAGATTTTTACATTTTATGATGTTGGATTAAAACCAATTTAAAAATTACTATAACGTGACATATAATTTTTTACTGAGCAATTTCAATGCCAGCTGCTAATAAAGCATCTTAGCTGTAAATGATAATTCAGATGCTTTTAGATAAAGTGGTGCATAAATATGGTTGGAAATTGATTTAGCTTCTTACAGAAGCTACTGAAGAATGACATATTTTGTTTAATACACCAGCTAATGTAGTCCTAAAAGCTCAAACAAGTGCCAGTTTTCACTCCTAAATTTGCTGTGGGAGATTAATGAAAACTTTATATTTTGCTGAAATGTTAATAATGGGCAGATGAGATGATAGGATTTTAGTAGAGGTCTTAAAGCTATGGAATAACCAGCAAGGCCTGTCAATTTCCTTGTATTAATTTTGCTCAAGACTTATATAGCTGGAACTGGCTCAACACACTAATGCTTCATGCATTGACCTTCTACTCTCTGCCAGTGTAAATTCATATCCCATTTGAGGATTTAAGTCCCCCTGATAGTCGGGTGAGTTCTGAGCCTTGCTCCACCGACAAGGGGCGTGTCTGCTTTTATGATCAGAAGGGCAACAGCACCTAGGGGAGTAGGGAAGAACAGTCCTCTAGCCTCTAGCTTACGTTGCCCACTCCAAAGGCGGTTATCTGTTAAATGAAACACTGCTGGCCTTGGAGGTCCAGGGCCATTTCCTGAAGTAGGCCCAGGGGTACAACTGCCTGGAGTAGCATGTCTCTTGTTCATGTAACTTTCAATCTTGTCTCCCTATGCCAGCTACTAGACAGGGGAAGGCACTGGTGAGGCCAGGGCAGGGCTCCTGATCCTCAGGAGCTTACAAACAAGCCATCAAATACAAATAAAACAGTACATGGCAGGGAGAAGTACCCAACAAATGGTGCATGCAAGAGGCACTTTATCTAAAAACAAATACTTAAAGCAAAGCATTACATCAAAAGCATGCTTTTGAACAAGAAAAGTTCCATGACTTGTATATACTTTCACTGTTTGTATGCTTCTGAAAAAGGGTGAACCCAGCTACACATGAAAGATGCTTGGTACTGCACCATTATCATATTAAAATTATTACTGTACTATGAACTTCAAGCTAAAACGTCTAGTTCTATTCAAGAGAAGACATTTTTATCTTCTCAAAGTGAGCAGAGAAAGCCAGAATGCCTTAAAAATAAACATACAGAAAACCCCTCACTCTCTAGACCATTAATTTAATTGAAATATAATCCTTTGGTATTTTGTTAAATTAGCAATTAAAAAGGTCACAAGCAATTAAATGAAACAAAAGCCATACTGTGTTCATCTACATTAACACTGAACTGGGTCTCCTCTTGAATGACAAGATAAATTGTAATGGTGCCTTCAAAGACTTCACAATGTATTTTGTCAAAGTCGGGAGTGTTAATGTCTCTATGTGCCATGGATTACCATAATGTGTCATGTCAAAACTCGGGAGCTGCAATAACTCACAGTATTGTGATACATCAAATTTTGGGGTGGGGCCTAATAGTGACTTGAGTACCAGAACCTAAATGGACTGACAACAAGGCTCTCAGAGAAAAAGCGCGCATATTCGCAATGAGTAAGAGGGAGGGACAAGCAGAGAACCTGAGAAAGCAGCTCCACACTCTAGAGTAAGAAGCGGGAAGCAAGGAGCAAAGCTGTGGCCAGGTTTGTCCATTTTTCACCAGACAGGCGAGGGCAGGAAAGGTACAGGGAGCAATGGGCATATCTGTATTAGGAAAAGTTTTAAATACTTCAACCAAACAATGTATTGTCACAGACCAAAACCAGAAGCAGATGTAAATATCTAGGTGTCTTATAATTAGACATTTATAGGAATCTGCAAAAACAAAATAGTGCTGCTTTCCTCATTAAAAAAATATGCAATTTTTATAAAATCTTTTAATTATGAAGCATTAATAAATTTCTCAATTTTAATTTTTGATAGTCCAATAAATAAAAGTTCACTGTTATCCTCCATAATTTCCTCTTCTTTATTAGCACCGGGGATTGAACCCAGGTCCTTGCACATGCTCTATCCCTGAACTACAGTTCTACCTCAGGAACTTTTGAGGGTATAAAGAAGCCCTGACATCAAGAAGTTTGAGAACTGCTGATCTGATTGGTCGCTATGCCTTATTTTCATAGTCCCTTGATGTCCACGTAAACACCCACGTGGGACACAAACAGCGCAGTTACAGCTGTGTAACTGACAACAAACAGAGCTGGAAAGCTTATGCACACACTGTAAGAGGAACAGGTTTGCTGTCAGCAATGAGACCAAGGCTAATTACATCAAATACTGCTCACAGCTAAATCAAAGCTCAGATGAACTCATCTGCTATTGGCAGATTTCCTGTGTTCATAGATGGAAATGGCATGGAACTGTAAAATTCATTTTATGCTTTAATGAGTCTCAGACCAAATCTAAAAAAGCACTCATCTGTATAAGTTAGCAACTTTTCTAAAATGCTCTATGCCAACTCTAGAGCCGAACTGGAAGATCAGTGGTCCTTTCTTACATCGTCCACAACGCCACAGCACCCTGTTGAGTGTCCTTCAGTTGGGAAATAGTTCCCTAGCACCTACCACATGGCAGGCGCTGTTCTGTGTCAGGAACTCAGGTGGAGGTGGATTCTGAATTGAGGGGCCGGGCCGGGCAAGCCAGAGGAATGTACAGTGCAGGGCATCATGAGGGAGGGAGAGCAGCCTGCAGGATGCTTGCCTTGGCTGGAGCGGTGTATGAAGGGGCACAGTGGAAAGTATGCCGGCCAGGCAGGGAAGCAGCTCTCCAGCGTGGTGCTGGTGTCCAACTCAGACACATGGACAGTGCTGCTGTGCAAGGAAGAGGT